GTACCTTGTTTGCTTCTATAGAGAATAACTCATGTTTCTGACTTACTTTATCCCGCTTTTCCCCTTTCCCTTTCTAATAACAAATGTAGAGTCCACTCATTAAGGCTATGCCTACACTGCAGCTCATAATGAACAGCTGTCTCAGGTTTTGCAGCAAAGGAGAGCTCCAGTTGTCAGTCTGAGAGGAAATCAGTAAGGAGCATACTGTGCCTCCTCCTAAGGGTTCATCCTAATGATATGACAGTTTATTTTGTATTTAGATTACCCTTTCACATTTCTTATACCTCTCTGATCTCATACTCCAAGACAGTTGCAGCTATTTGGCCACGATTACAAAACACATAGAGCTCCAGTATCATGTGTTCCGCGTTCTGTTTTAAGAGACCAAAGGTCAGAATACTGAATTTCCCATGCCATTGAAACCCGGAATTGCAATAGATGGGAGTCATGTTTCAGACATGAAGCTCAAGCCACCAGGTGAATAGAAAACTTAACATTTAGGCTGTGTCTACACTGTAGGTATTTGTTGGCAGAGAATATGCTAATGAAGCACTTATTAGCATTTGTTGCACTGTCATTTGCATATTCTCTGCCGATGCTTTTTGCGCAAGAGGTTTTTGCGCAAAAACAAGCAGTGTAGATGGATTTGTTTTGCCCAAAAAAAACCTTTTGCCTCAAAAAAGGAGGTATACGGGATCTTGCGCAAAAGGGTTTATTTGCACAAAACGGACCCATCTACACTGCTTGTTTTTGCGCAAAAACCTCTTGCGCAAAAAGCATCGGCAGAGAATATGCAAATGACAGTGCAACAAATGCTAATAAGTGCTTCATTAGCATATTCTCTGCCAACAAATACCTACAGTGTAGACACAGCCTAAATGTTAAGTTTTCTATTCACCTGGTGGCTTGAGCTTCATGTCTGAAACATGACTCCCATCTATTGCAATTCCGGGTTTCAATGGCATGGGAAATTCAGTATTCTGACCTTTGGTCTCTTAAAACAGAACGCGGAACACATGATACTGGAGCTCTATGTGTTTTGTAATCGTGGCCAAATAGCTGCAACTGTCTTGGAGTATGAGATCAGAGAGGTATAAGAAATGTGAAAGGGTAATCTAAATACAAAATAAACTGTCATATCATTAGGATGAACCCTTAGGAGGAGGCACAGTATGCTCCTTACTGATTTCCTCTCAGACTGACAACTGGAGCTCTCCTTTGCTGCAAAACCTGAGACAGCTGTTCATTATCCCTCCGTTCTGGGTTACAGTGCCTACCTCAGATGAAAACTGTAGTGTCATTATACATGTTAGACAAACCAATAGCTATTATTTGAGACATTTATTTTAGAATAAGAACTGCTCGGCTGCAATGTGAAAGTTATTTGTAATTGCAATCTCAATCTCATTGTTATCTATTATTGGCAACTAACCATTCATTGGCATATTGTGCGTATGGGATTTTTTCTCCTCAAAGTCCTTATAGGTGGCATCATGTTGCTTTAAATTTTCTGTTGAAAAAAAGTAGCACTTGTTTCCTTACTGCTTCAGATATTGTTTCAAAATCTATTCCATGCTATTTGGGGCAGTATGTTACTTTTTCAACCCACATGCAGGCTAAATAATATGCAATCTGAAACTGACACAATTTAATTTTACAATTTGCCATATGATCACAAGCTACCTTTTCAGTATCAACCTCCTATTTCCTTGCTTTAGGATATGAGGAAACAAGTATACAAGGTATGTGTATGTGTATATCCCCAAAAGAGCACTCTTTTGGATTTCTGAAGGAAAAACTAACATGACGTAACTAGTAGTCTCCTTTCTCTAGGAAATTTAGATGGAACACATGACCAGAAGCAACATGTAACTTTGAATTTGTTTGTCACCACTAGGGATCTCAACATGTAGTCGAGTATGCGATTAATCAATAAATCTAGCCTATCAGAGGCAGCAGCGTCGGGCGGGGGGGCAGCGGAGTCTGCTGCATGGCAGCCTGTGTCCAGGGTGGGCCAGGTTCACTGCAGACAGAGGCTGCTTCGTGAGATGCTAGCACAGCCTCTGTCCACTGGAAGCTCAGACCCCCCTCAGATAGGGCCTGATTCAGAGGCAGCAGCGCAGGGTGGCAGGGAGCTCCCCGGAAGTGGGGCCGAGAGCACACTGGCTGCTGGCCCTGCCTCTGGGGACTGTTGAATAATTGTGTAACCACTAAAATTTGATGCGGTTCCATGATTATTCAATTAATCACTATTTAACATCCCTAGTCACCATGAAGCTCAGACCCCCCTCAGATAGGGCCTGATTCAGAGGCAGCAGCGCAGGGTGGCAGGGAGCTCCCCGGAAGTGGGGCCGAGAGCACACTGGCTGCTGGCCCTGCCTCTGGGGACTGTTGAATAATTGTGTAACCACTAAAATTTGATGCGGTTCCATGATTATTCAATTAATCACTATTTAACATCCCTAGTCACCATCAGTATCACATGTGTAATAAATTGTAAATTAAGATAAATTAGCAAAACCATTTTTTGCCAACCGCTGTAACAATCTATAGCAAACGCCTTTGAGGATGTATCTGCCATTTGTTTGGGAATACAAAAACATTCACCTGCCCCTAGTGTATGAACCTGTGACGGCTGAAAAATTAAGCAGTTACACGTTTATACAAGTAAGCATTTGCTAACATCCCTAGCTTCCAAGCCATCTCTCATCTAGGCCTCAACTGGAGTACTGTGTCCAGTTGGGCACCACATTTCAAGTAAAATGTGGAGAAATTGGAGAAGGTACAGAGAAGAGCAACAAGAATGATTAAAGGTGTAGAGAACATGACCCATGAAGGAAGTCTGAAAGAATTGGGCTTGTTTAGTTTGGAAAGGAGAAGACTGAGAGGGGACATGATAGCGGTTTCCAAGTATCCAAAAGGGTGTCACAAGGAGGAGAGAGAAAAATTGTTCTCCTTGATCCCTGAGGATAGGACAAGAAGCAATTGGCTTACACTGCGGCAAGGGAGGTTTAGGTTGGACATTAAGAAAAACTTCCTCACTGTCAGGGTGGTTAAACACTGGAATAAATTGCCTAAGGGGCTTGGGAATCTCCATCTCTGGAGTTATTTAAGAGCAGGTTAGATAGACATCTATCAGGGATGGTCTAACTCTAGACGGTACTTGGGTCCTGCCATAAGGGCACGGGACTGGACTCGATGACCTCTCAAGGTACCTTCCAGTTCTAGTGTTCTTTGATCCTCTGATTCAATTCAATTATTTGAATGTAAGAAGTGCAGAAGTAAGATGGGAAAGGGGAAGTAACTAATTTTGTACAACCAAGGGAGTATTTGATGTAATACAGAGGTGAAAGAGTGGAAAATTTTGCACTATATTTTCTGTCTGGAGGTATGTGCAAATAGGAGAAGAAATTTAAATCATCTATGCTGATGGGATTTGGCTCTCCTGCTCCAATTAATTTAATGGCAAATAGGCATCCAAATCCTTTCTGCATCTTTGAAGATTTCAACCTTACTTCACATGTGGAGCTGGTTTAAATGTTACAGTATAACAGTGCTCCGCAACTTGACTGCCATCACCGGGCAGAACTACTGGTCACTGTGATGTCTGTGAAACTGCCGAGTCAGAAGCCCCAAAGCCCAATTCATTATAGGAAAGTTGGTGCCAATTATGTAAGTTGTTGACATTTAATTTATTACTCATCTCATAGCAATCGCTGGCTTGAGATCTCCGTATGGTCACCTGTGCATTTTGTAGTAGTGCACCATGTTGGGGAATTCTGATCATCTATAGAAGGAGAACCATGGAAATAAAATGTAACTGAAAAGCCCCACAACATTTTAGTTTTAAGGCTGCTTACCAATTTCATCCAGTAACTCCTGGGCTGGTGGAGGCAACTCATTAATAAAGTAGTCTGATGCCCGGGATAAAGCTGGGCTCGATTCACCTGGAAAAAAAAGCCTAATCAACTAATATTGATGAATAACTACAAGCTCTGATTATAACAACATCTAACAAACCTTCCCTGAGATGGGGTCACTCACATTCTACCAAATACCCTTAAATAATTTCATAAAGCTAGCCATAGAGCTACACTTGCAGTTATATCCCTCAATTTTTTTGATGTAATTTGAAGTCAACACTTATTTACACCTACAATTTAGGTTTATCAGAGTAAGTGTCCAAATTCATAATCAGGAAACCTGGGATGTGAGTATTCTAATAAATTCACTTGCAAATGAAAAACTGCCCACTGTTCTTTCCCCTAAAAATAGACATCTGGGTAAAGGCCAGGTTGGAAACATGCTCCTTACAATAATGCAGCTCTGATATTTCGTTAATAACCTGCTGTACCTTTCCGTGGGTCACTTTGCTGAGTGACAGGAAATGGGTTACGAGATTCTTTCCTGGCCTTTCTCAAAAGTGAAGAAGCACTGAGTGTAGACAAACCACTCTGTAAAAGACCACATAAATGAAGCATAGGAGTATGAACTTTTTTTCTGTGTTCTTCTCCTCTGCTAAACCCAAGATGAGAGGAGGCAATAATCAACTAGCATAAAATTCATCTGTTCTATTCTTTGGTCTGGCCCATAACCTCACAGGCAGATCGTATACTTAGTGTGCAGCACAGAATACAAACAGGAAGACAAGGAGCTTTTGTACAAATCAGTAGCCACCTTTTAAACACTGTGATGGGTCTTCTTAGGGTTTGTCTAGACTATGGGATAAGATCGAATTAAGATACACAACTTCAGCTATGTTAATTGCATAGCTGAAGTCAAAGTAGCTTAACTCAATTTTTGCTGCTGTCCACACTGCAGGAAGTTGAAGGGTGAACACTCTCCCTTCAACTTCCCTTACTCCTTGGCCACGTCTAGACTGGCATGATTTTCCACAATTGCTTTTAACAGAAAAGTTTTTCCGTTAAAAGCATTTGTGGAAAAGAGCGTCTAGATTGGCACGGACGCTTTTCCGCAAAACAACTTTTTGCGGACAAGCATTCGTGCCAATCTAGATGCGGTTTTGCGCAAGAAAGCCCCGATAAAGCATTTGCGCTAGAGGGCTTTTGCCCGAATGGGAGCAGCATAGCATTTCTGCAAGAACACTGACAATCTTACATGAGATCGTCAGTGTTCTTGTGGAAATTCAAGTGGCCAGTGTAGACAGCTGGCAAGTTTTTCCACAAAAGCAACTGCTTTTGCGGAAAAACTTGCCAGTCTAGATGCAGCCCTTGTGTATGTGAGCACAGGCAAACTCATCTATACTATTATAAAAGGAGAGGCATCCATCATGCTGTCTATCACAGAGAACATTTGAGAATGCACTGGAAGACTTGAGAAGTTTCTAGAAAATGCCAGAGTTGAAGGGAACCCCGTCCTGTGGCAGCAGCGGGTGCAGTCACAGGTGGCTTGGCAGGCCAGGTTGGGGGGATGTGGCGGGGGCCCCCCCTTCAGGCTGCCATTGGCAGGGGTTTGGGGCCTCTGCAGCAAGTGGCCAGCAGGTGCAGCAGGGAGCTGGTGGTAAAGTTGGTCCTATGCAGACTTGTGCCCGCTAGGGCAGGCAGTTCATGGGCCAGGGCACTGCACCGCTCCTGTGCTCCAGGGACAGCGGTCCGGCAGGAGGGAACAGCAGGGGCAGCAGAGCATGGAAGGGAGCAGCTCCTTGTGGTCCATCAAGCAGCTGCTGCTGCGGTATGATGACTTCTCTGAGCGGCACATTGGGTCCGGGGACAAAGAGAAGTGGGAGATGCTGCGAACAGGGGGGCTGGTGGTAGGTCTCTGCCCATCGCACTCCACTCATCCATCCCTCAGCCCCCTTGAGCCAGTGCAATCCGGGTCTTCCCACACCCTGCCCTCCCCTACACCTGCCCCCCATGCCACCCGCTCACCCACCCCAACTTATCCTCCCTTCTCTGCTGCCCTTCCGCCCAATGCACCACAGCTGTGAGGTGGGGCTTGGCTAGTAATTATAAAAGCTAGTCAGGACTAGATACAAAAATCCTTCAATAATAAACACAAGAAGAAAAGTCTGTAATCACAAACAAGAATGCATTATCAGAATGGAAATAGGGGCTCCTAAGTAGGGAAATTTTATTCCAAAGGGATTTTTCTGGAGAGTAAGTGACAGCAGTATACATTTCTCAGCAGTGCAAGTCAAGGCAGAATTGTTCTGTTAATATGTTTAATGAACTCCAACCATGTGCCCTGCAAATCTAAAGCAGCAGAACTGACTTGATGACAGTTAACCTGTCTGCCTCTGTTCTGGATGAACAAACTGTAATTCAATCTTTAAAGGGCAACCTCCACAATGAATAACAGTAAGAAAGGTATTAAGGTAACTGTTTATATATAATCCTCTTGAATAACAATCAAATTAATGTTCTCAAACCAGAATATTTTCAGCTCCAAAAACATCAGTGGAGAACTCTAAGCTTTTCTTGGAAATCTGGTATCTCTATACAGTGAATAATCACAATACAGTGCAAATTCTGTGACTGTAGCAAAGTAAAAGGACAAATTAAACCCCTCAATATAATGGTTTTCTGAATTTTGTGAACATGCAAACTACCCTTATGCCTAGAAGGATTCAATTTGTAATTTGTTTCTTGAGAAACCATTCTTCTTTAGCTGTGCAGCCCTCCCCAACCCCATTTTAAAGATTCCCTTTCTGTGTAACTTGTAATTTATAAATCTGAAAACTCAAACCTCTTTCTAAGCAGATGTAAATCTCACCTTCACCAAGACAAAGAGGTTTACAAATCAACTGCAAACTCTGATATCTTCTGAGATACCACCTTCTATATGCACACAAATGTTTTGATTGAGAGTTGGAAGGGAGTGATCTTAGTACCGAGAATTTCCTGTTTCATTCTTGATCAAACTGCTCAGTGAACCCCAGATCAAGCAATATAAGAGCTAACTTCTAGGAGAACTCAGATTCAGTGTAAAATTTTACTTTCCTCTTTGCACTATGGGTGAGTTGCACTGAGGAATGAAAAATGTCCTGCCTACCAATAAAGATGCCAAAAATTAAGCCAGATAAAAAAAAAACCTTCCTCAATTTTACCATGTCCTTCATAGAATAACAAGCCTGTTCTGGGTTCACGAATTGTTTGAAGACATTATAATACATAATTATATACACCGAAAATTCTTATTAAAATAGAGTGTGACATCCTGAGTCCAATGAAATTAATATAAATTTTATCATTGACTCCAACAATGCGGAGATATAACCCAGAATGTATACTAACTTATATGGTTCCTTATAAGCATACCTCTTGCAGTTATATTAAGACATTTGGAAAATATGAGAGAGGAGAAAGAGTTTAGGAATTTGCTAGCATAAAGGAAATACAATTTCCTACACTTACAGGCTCAGTCAATCCAGAGGAGTAGGTTTCAGAAGAAAGGAAGGTGGTTTCTGAGTTCTTTCCCTTTTCATGGGCTGTAATGAAGCTACTGGACATTGTTATGGAAGCTTCCTGAGTAGCCCAACAAGAGGTATCCAGGGGAATTTCATGGCAGTCTCCACATTTCTTGATGACTGATGACACCTTTTTCACTGGGAAAAAAGTAAGAGAAAAGCTTCTTTGCTTTTTATTTTGTTGCAACTAAGCTGACATTGCATTTTAATATACATGGAGTGAGATTTTTAAAGAAGTCAGGTATGTAATTGCATGGGTAATTTACTTATGTGAATACAAACCAAACTCTGAACAATCTTTGCTCACAATAGTTGCTCACTACACAGAAATTCAGTGTACACTTACGGATTGTGACTGACATCTCCAATTCCCCTATGACAAAAAGGATGTCCACTCATGAATCTCTAACTACCCAACTGATAGAGACACTGAGAGCATAAGCAAAGAAAAGCAACATGATATTTTAAAAAAATAATATTTAAGTTCAATGATCACAACGTAGTGAAAATCTTGGTTCCTACCCCCAAAGAGTTGAGTAATTCTCCGATCCTTTCCCCTGAGGAGTTACCTGGGCTGAGTGGAGTGCTGACACTAGTTGGTGCATGATCCATTCTGGGGGTTTTACAAATTATATCCTTACAAAAATTCTCTTGCTCACATGAAATACTGGACAAATCCTGAATATCTGTCAATGATCTAGAGGATTGATAGTGAAAGAGATTCGGATGGTTAGAAGATCTGTTTTTAACTGCTTCCTCCTTACACGGTCTGTGTTATTACATCACCCTACTTTCAAGGCTCTAGAATGTTGCTAAGAATTATGTTTGATTTTCCTTAGGGAAGTGAGAGATTCCTTGGGAATGGAGGGGAACCTAAGGCCCAGGGGCTCCGGCTTGCCTGGATCCAGGCTCTAAGGCTTGGGACTTCCCTCAACACCCTCTCGTACACTGAACTCCTCATTTTTGGATCCACCCCAGAGCCTAGGAGGCCCCATAAAATCTACTTGCCTGGGCCCCCCAGGCTCTGGTGTGGGAGGGGAATATGGAGAGTGTCTTTCTCCTTCTCAGTTGGGGGCCAAGTCAGTGAGGGTTTTTTTGGGGGGGGGAGGCCCCCAACTGATTCTTCTGTGGCTCAGAAGCCCCTGATCCAAAAAAGGTTCCGCATCCCTGCCTTAGGATAACTGCATGTGGAGTTCTCAGAAGGCTACAAAATACCTAGTCCAAAGATTCAAAAGAGCTTAGAAAGAGAAAATCTATTTTAGCTACCAACCTAGAATTTTTTTTCAAAACCTCTTCCATGCAGCAATTTTATTCTACAAGATGCTCAGAAGGAGATTACCACTCCACAAGAGAATGCTAACAAAACTGACTCCACGGCTCAGGAAAGGATCTCCTGACTTAAACAAGAGACTTCAGGTAGAAAACAGACAAGTTTGGCGCTCTTGATTCTTGCAGCTTTAGTTGTTCTTCAAGTGAATTACTTGGACTAATTAGACACATATACGCAAAAGAGACTTTGGGTGTCTTCTTAAGGGTTTAAATGCTTGTAGGACATGGGCCAAACTGAGGAACCCAGCATCTCCACTAGCTACACTCTGAAGTCTCTCCCCTTATGACTGTAATCTAATAAGCTTTGTTGATCAGAAGGGAAATTTCAGCTGAACCATTGTCTCAGGAATTTATGTGACCTCCATTTATATGTGGCTTTTTTTTAAGTTTGTTTTTCAATTTAAAATCAAAGCCCAGAAGTTCATTCTGCCAAGTGCTCCTGTCCTACCAAAATAATAGCCTCCATTATATTAGTTGTTTGCTGTGAGAGGTTTTTAACTGGAAACTAAGGATTTTCTCTCTCAAAAAAGGAAAGTAATTTTGTTTCTGTCTTCAATTTAACTTGCTCAGAGGGAACAGTGATCCCCTAATATTTTAACTTCTAAGCACAACATCCAACATTCTATTTCATTAATTTAATTATTCACGAACATAAAAATAATCTGAACTAAGCTAAAGTCAATTGTAGATGTTTGATTTTTTATACCTATCCTCCCTGCTTATCATGATGAAGTATTATCGCTGTAATTCACATGGCATCCTGTTTTTGAATTTCTGGTCTATCACACTTTTTCGTTTCATATAAAAAGAGAACTCTTAGAATGGCAATGATTGATTTGCTGCAGTTTCACTATGAAACAGTGTGTGTCCTTACATATCTTTCTCTTTGAACTCTTTCAGTGTCTCCTTAGGTATAATTTCTTGTGATGCTTCAGCACTGGAAAGAGAAAAAAATTAAGAGTTCATATTCATCAATTCTCTTGGAAAACCATGAAAATAAACTTATAAAAAGAGCATAAAAGAAACTGAAGACATTTAAAAGACTAGTTCTGTGGGGTTAGCATGAAGCTTATAAAGATCAGAACTTTTTAAAGTCTTGACGCATTAGTATAGAGGGTAAGAGAAAAGATGAAATACACAGCGGATATGAATCTGTACTGTATCTTACACAATCAATGTATACACTACAAATGACAGGCTTTTCAAACCAAACCATTTGAAAATGAAATCAAAACATGTCAAAGACTTTTCATTACTTTTTTTCCTCCACATTTCCTCTGTCTTTTTTATATTCTAAACTATTTAGGACTCTTTCTTATTAGGCATATGTACAATACCTTGTGCAGTGGGATCTTGATCTTGGCTGGTGCCACCATATATTAATTAATACAAACAAATGAGAATACTGGAAACATAAAAACCTGACCTGACAGTTCATCATGGCTGCATGTCTCCAAACACTGAGCTATTAACACCAGAAGGTGATCATAGACAAGTCTACTTCAAATTCTGCCTCATGTCATCCAAGGCAGGAGAACTGAACCTCCACGGAGTGGGGAGGGAAATCATCCCTGTGACCTCTGTACACCACACACTTGTCCCCCCTGTTTCCCTTCCACAGCAGCTGTGGTGCCACTGGTTATTACATTCACTAGGTACTCCCCATTCCTCCATAAAGGTGCAGGAGTCAGAAAGATTCTTGAGTCACGCTTGAGTAAGGCCTTTCCTCAGCTTAGAATCATAGAATACTAAAACTGGAAGAGACCTCAAGAGATCATCAAGTCCAGTCCCCTGCCCTCACAGCAGGACCAAGCACCACCTAGATCATCCCCGATACATATGTATTCAACCTGCTCTTAAATATCTCCAATGATGGAGATTCCACAATCTCCCTAGGTAATTTATTCCAGTTTTTAACCACCCTGATAGTTTGGAAGTTTTTCCTAATGGCCAACCTAAACCTCCCTTGTTACTATTTAAGCCCACTGCTTCTTGATCTATCATCAGAGGCCAAGGAGAACAACTGTTCTCCCCCCTCCTTCTAACAACCTTTTAGATACTTGAAAAGTGCTATCATGTCCCCTCCCAGGCTATGTCTAAACTACATCCCTTTTCTCGAAAAAAGGATGTAAATTAGACACTTCGAAATTGCAAATGAAGCCGGGATTTAAATTTCCCATGCTTCATTTGCATAATGGCAACCATGGTTTATTTTGAAACGGGACTTTTTGAAAGAAAAACGGCTGTTTAGATGGGGATCGATCAAACATAAAACACTTTTTCAAAAGACCCTATACACCTGAAAAAATGAGGCATATAGGATCTTTCGAAAAAGGGTTTATTTTCGATTGATGCCCATCTAAACAGCTGCTTTTCTTTCGAAAAGCCCCACCACCATTATGCAAATGAAGCACGGGAAATTTAAATCCTGGCTTCATTTGCAATTTCAAAGTGTCTAACTCACATCCTTTTCTCAAGAAAAGGGATGTAGTTTAGATACAGCCCCAGTCTTCTCTTTTCTAAACTAAACAAGCCCAATTCTTTCAGTCTTCCCTCATAGGCCAGGTTTTCTAGACCACTAATCATTTTTGTTGCTCTTCTTTGGACCTTCTCCAATTTCTCCACGTCTTTCTTGAAACGTGGTGCCCAGAACTGGACATAATACTCCAACTGAGTCCTAATCAGTGCAGAGAAGAGCAGAAGAATGACTTCTTGTGTTTTGCTCATAACACTCCTGTTAATGCATCCCAGAATCATGTTTGGTTGGTTGTTTTTTTTGCAACAACATCACACTGTTGACTCATATTTAGCTTGTGGTCCACTATAACCCCTAGATCCCTTTCTGCAGTACTCCTTCCTAGACAGTCACTTCCCATTTTGTAAGTGTGAAACTGATGGTTCTTTCCTAAGTAGAGTACTTTGCATTTCCCTGGAGAGGTGAGCATTGAAAGACACAAGCGGATGGGCTGGCTGGAACAGATGGGTACAGGGTGTCAGCATTTCTAGCCCCCAGGGAGGAAGTGCTAGCTGCTTAGCTTTGTGGGCAGAGCCTGAGAGGTGCTGACTAGGTCACTGGCCACGTTTGGGTCTGGCGCTGTGGCTTAAGACTTAATCTTTGCATTCATGCCCATCAGTATGAAAGAAGATATTTGCATATATATTTGCAAGTATATGGAACCACACTTAAGTTGCGGCCCTCGGCATGTGCTGTATCATTGTAGCCCCTGGGGCTTCCAAAGTTGTGTAGCCCTGCACTATTTATACAACTCCTTTTTTATTTTTAGATCATATAAGATCTCCTGGTTGATACAAGGTGGTCTCCTGCCAAACTTTCTATCTTTCCTACTTAGTGGAATAGTTTGCTTTTGGGCCCTTAATAATGTCCCGTTGAAAAACTGCCAATTGTCTTCAGTTGTTTTTCCTCTTAGTCTTGCTTCCCATGGAATCTTACCTACCAGCTCTGTGAGTTTACTAAAATCTGCCTTCCTAAAATCCATTGTCTTCATTTGCTGTTCTCCCTTCTACGATTCCTTAGAAGCATGAACTCTATGATTTCACGATCGCTTTCACCCAAGCTGTCTTCCACTTTCAAATTTTCAACCAGTTCCTGCCTATTTGTAAAAATCAAATAAAAAACAGCCTCCCCGCAATAGCTTTCTCACCCTTCTGAAATAAAAAATTGTCTCCAATGCAGTCCAAGAAACGTGTTGGATAATCTGTGCCATGATGTGTTAGTTTCCCTGCTTGAGTCACTCCAAGAAATAGCCAGCAGTCAGAAATGGTGCACACAGATGGGATACTGGGTATGGATTTACCTCCCTATTTCCCATTTCAGTATGTGTACTACATCTAACATACACAGAATTATTTTTCTTATTTTAATCTTAACTATCTCATTAAGCAAAGATGGGGATAGATAGTATCACAGTCAAAGGTAAAATCTCATCCATCAGGCTTATGAAAGCCCTTTTTATATTTCCTTGCTAGAAAATACATAAATCACCATTTTAAAAAAATACCATGGACATCTTATTTGAGCATTAAGTATTTCAGTAGGATTAATAAAGAGAGAGCATGTTCTGTATAACCTAATTTTTGTTTGAAGTAGTATAATAAGTCTTTCTACCTGGCTACTGGAGTATGGTTGAGTTGATTCACTCCCACTTCATTACTGCCACGGTTTTTTACTGCTGTGTTGCAGAGAAATATTTTCTCTCCTGAATACAAATAGCAAATGTTCCTTTTTATTAGGTTTTGCAAATAAAAAAGTGAAACATTACTTACTGAACAGGAAATTGCAACTTTATTATATTTTCAGTTCTTGTGACTTCTGTTTTTGTTATTCTAAGAGACAAATGCATTTTTAAAGATGCATTTTCATAAATATATCCCAGATGCCAAGCCATTCTGCCAACTGGGATTATGGAAACATTTACAAATCCTCATTGAATAAGGACTGACAAAAATAAACATACAATGATATTCTACTCATTCCAGATATATTATTTCAGGCCCAAAAGGTCTCACACCCAAGGGAAGTGTGAGAATCAGAATATTAGCATAGATATAAAAACTCTAATTCGATTTCCTTGTCTCTTGCTAGCACATTATGCGAAGCTGCTAACTCAATAATAGGTACAAAAGAAATAGGTCACATCAGATTTCTGGCTGCAGTGTTACAAGTGTATGAACAAAACTTCACAACTCCAAGAATTCATTGATCATGGACCCTCAATTCCCATTGAACGTACTGGGAATGGAGACAACCAGGCCTGTATGAGTCCAATTTCAGCTTCTACTGGGGAAACTGATGACTAAATATTAGCAATGCCGACATTTGGCAGTCCTGTGCCACAAAAGTAAGGACATGGAAATATCCACTGCAAGGAGGAAACACAAATAACAAACATGTATTTAATAGTGTTGTAGCTGTGATGGTCCCAGATATGAGAGAGACAGGGCAGGTGAAGTAGTATATTGGTGAAAGAGACAAGCTTTTGAGTTTCATAGAGCCCTTCCTCAGGTCTGAGGTAGGTAACCAGAATGTCTAAGCTAAGCATTACCTGACTCTGTATCACTAGGCACCGGTTTCTGTACACAGGTTTCTTGGGTTACTTCTAACTCATCTTCAGAACTTGAGATCTGAAGAGACAGAATGCATCAAATTAAATTTCTCACAAGAGAGCTATAAAAGGAGAATCCTTGGCCCTGTGCAATGTGCACCCTAATCAGGGTGAGGAGAGGCAAATCGTTCAAGAGCTTCTCATTTTTAGGTCTAGTAATGTACAGCATGCATTGTATCTGACATCCTTCACAAACAATTTAATCCTCTCTAGGAATTGAATAAAAACTGCCTCCCAACATGCAACAGTAAAATGAAAAGTGCTAGCAGGGGAAGATTTAGTTTAAGAGTGGTCAAAAACTTTTCTTAGCCTAACAGCAGAGTTTTTAATTTTAAGGTTACATAAAAGCCTAAATCTCCTTGTAAAAATGAGCCAAGAGAACATGCTTTAAGGAATAAGGCTAGTTCTTTGAGAGGTACAGATTTATCGGAGGGCTTGAGAAAGCAGTGCTTGCCAATAAATATAATGCAATATAGATCACTCTTTTTACACACCAACATAAACAAACCCACAAGTGGTTTTATTTGCCCTTTAGCTTGAGATACATTTTATTCCTGTGCAGACTTTGCTTTTACCTCTTGTTCTGAGTTTCCCTGAGCTGCTGGAGAAAAAAAATAATCCGGATCAGGAGTGAAAAACTCATCTGATATGTCAGGAGAGGAATTGGAGGAACGAGTTAATTCACTTGAATGCTCCTGCGAAAGGTGGTATAAAATGTCAAAGTTATGATGCTGTCACAACTATGTCCATATTTATAACATATAAGAGTATAATGTATAAGAGTATAATATACTCTTAGTCAAAAACGATAAATAATAACATGTTTTCTATTCTATTGTAATTTCAGACTGAAAACAATGAGTTTCCTTCACTCAGGTGTATAATTTTTATTTTGCTTACATTTCCACCTTTAGGATAACTAAAGGCAGTCCCTGAGTTACGCGGATCCGACTTACGTCGGATCTGCAGTTACGAACGGGGCCCTCCCTCTCCCTGGTCTCCAGCAGACCAGGGAGAGGAAGCAAAGCGGCGGAACACGCAGGCAGCAGACAGCCCAGACACGTCTGGGCTGTCCGCTGCCCGTGTGTTCCGTCGCTTTGCTCCCCGTCCCCCTGGTCTGCAGACCAGGGGGACGGGGAGCAAAGCGGAGCAAAGCCAAGGAGCCCGAGGGCAGCAGGACAGCCACGGTGCATCTGGGCTGTCCCGCTGCCCCCGTGCTCCGCGGCTTTGCTCCGGACACCTGTGGTACCACAGCTGGGGCGCTGCCAGTTGGTCCCGTAGCGCCGCTCTGGGCGCTCCTGGACCAACCGGGCAGCACCCCAGCTGCTCTGCCCCG